CAGACAACCTCTCGTCAATATGCGTTTTTCGCATTGCATTGCTGCAAAAAACGCATAAAAATTTGCAGGGAGCTATGCAAAAAACGCATCTTCGCACGGGCAACCCGTGCGTTGGCCAATTAGTTATGAACGGACCCGAGCTTTTGCAGCACTTGTGCCTGTGCCGCTAAGGGGGCGGAGCTGAAGACTCTCCGCCCCTCCCCCGAACGAACAAGGTGGCCCCGGAGCACTGCATTAACAGCACATCTGGCTCCGCCTGTTTCGGACCAGCAGCCCTAGAACAGGTGCCAGTGCACTGTTGTGTCACTAATTAATATTTGGACTGGCCACGTGGCTGCGCACTTGCTTTCTTCAACAGCTGGAACAATTTTGGTTATATTTGACGGGGGATTTTTTGTTAGTCCTCGATATTACCCTGAAATTCTGGTGTTAGCCCACGGTACTCTCCCACCCCGCCGACGCCGCCTAGTTAAACCCTCCTGATGTTGCTCGGAAACTAAAAAGTAGCACAATGAGGACCGAGCCGAACGAGAGGGAACGGAGAAAAGCCCCAAGCGGCCCCACTGCGTAACGAATGCAGTCATTTCATCACGTGCTGGTGTACACGTTAAACGTGTCAGTAAAAACCGGACCTCCCCCCGTCTCGCCCCTCCTCAGGAGTCCATCCTGGACCCGCCAATGGTGCTTATGTTAGTGCTGTATTGCGGGACATCAGTTGCACACGTGTCGGATTATCGAATGGCACACAGGCGTTTTCATCGCAGAGGCACACTCACGTGGCGGTGTTCACAGGATGCGTGAAGCCCGGAGTGCCAAATGCGACAGCAGTGAACAACGACTAGGCCGAAGAAGAAGAGACGCATTTACCGAGGGGACGAGGTAAACGTCGTATTGCCGCTCGTCGACCACGCGCCTCGTCGGAAGCTGGCGAATCTGCCTCTCCGCGTACCGGGGGCACTAGTGCCAAGCCGGAACATTGCTAAGCAGCCGCGTCCGTTCCTGGACCAATTAATACTGATTTATCCACGTGGCAATCCGTCATTTTAAAGGTATCTATGCTAAAATTCGGCTGCCCCCCGGACGCCTGTCCGAGCGATTGATAAAATTCGACCCAGCTGCTATGTACTGTACGATCACGGGTATCGTTCCCCCGAGCATAGGGTAACGCTGACTAGGAGTGTTGGGTGGAAGAGAGAGATGGTGGGACGTAGGAACTCATGACAGGTGACGAGCTACAGTAGTCAAATACTGGAACTTAGTTTGATTGCACCACATGCACTCGTTTGTGAGTTCGGTGGGATTAGTGAAACAACTACAGTAGGCTGTGGGTAACTTTGCCCTAGGCGCTGGGTAACGTAAGTTCAAGGGCAATGGGTGGAGGAGGGGGAGGTGTGGTGCTGGGACCTGGAGTGGGAAAGGGGCTGAAATATTGGTGGGTAAGAGAGGGGAAGGGATATGCTAAAGCTAGGGGCTGGAGACAATACAGGAAAAAGGAATGAAGACATCTGTCGGGAACCTACAGGTAGGAGTTGGAGAGAAAGATAAAGAAGAAGGTAAATTAAGGATGCATAAAAGCAAGGTCTGAGCGGATGGGGACTGTCGTACAAAAACCCACCTTGCTTGGAAATGGAACATGGAAACGGGAAGGTTTAGCGGGGAGGGGGTTCTCCTGTGAGTTTTTTTGTGCTCAGCATGAAACTTAGTTTGTGAAGGGGAAGTTAGCAGTCTTGAACGCGACATTTAGAACCTTTCCCAGGCGAAGACTCGCTACTACGATTCTCGCTACTCAAATCTGAACTCAAAAATGAGTTGGTATCGACCAGTTAAATTTCGCTCTGTTTCAGTTCTATGCCGCGCGAAAAAAAACATAGGGCACGCCTTCCCCTTCCCTCATGAACCCAGCCTCTATTTCCAATTTCTGCTCTCCGTTGAGGCCTTCTCAGTAAACAATCCACCCTCTCTCCTCTCCAACGACTCTCGAAAACTAAGAGGGTAGTTCCTAGCCTCACTCCTCCCATCCCCGCTCCTCTACCACCACCTCCAGCCACTCGAGCACGCCTGGCCCAGTCTGTCGAAGTCGAGATGAAAATCAGTAGTTACCATTTTCACTCGCGGCTCGGGAGCAAGCATTTTCACTCGCGGTTTCGTCCTCGTAGCGTGGTTATTCGCCACACACGTCCCAGAGTCCCATGTCGTAAATCACTTCCGCGTGCTACGTTCCCGCGAGCCTGTACTTTCACAACTCTTACGCGGCCATTGACCGGATGATTTCCTCGTCGGGATTGCCTAAGGCAGTTTGCGAAACGTATGTGTCTCCCCTCAGCGACTATGAAACAGCCTGAGCGTTTCTCTTGTCCGGACGATTTCTCGGGTATTTGTGTGGAAGTGTCAGACTTCTCCATGGTTCAACACTTCGAAAGATCAGCGCTTACCTCACGCGCTTACATCTGTTTGCGCAAAAAAAAAA